GCTCATTCCATGGCTATAAAGGTTGGACTGATATCTTTTGGTTTGGGGATATTCTTTCACTCTCATCATCAACTGCTTTTTTATTTTAACGAACTTGAAAACAGTGATAAGCCAGGCTTAACTTTCTTTTTCTACTGCTGCTGTAGAAACCAACTTTGATAGCAGCCTTGAAATAAGCCCCTTTTCACCCAAACAAAACATCGACTTACACAAACATCCAACATGCCTCTCCCACAAGACGAGAAGCTAGTCGAGACCAGCAAGGCCATCATTGGCGAGTTCAAGGGTATCTTTGGCCCGCACCCTGGATTCCGTCCCGGTCAGTACAACACCCCTATTTCTTTCTTTCCTATTAACCATTTCCGCTATTCTACCCTCCTCACACGCCTAATCCAACTTACTTTACCCCCTTTCCCAATCCCTATTTCATATCCACAACATCCACCCATACCTTAGCTGTACTAACATTTATGTTCATGTCCAGCCCACGCCAAAGGCGCCCTCGTAACCGGCATCTTCACACCCTCGTCTGTCGCATCAACCCTCTCCTCCGCCCCCCATTTTGTTTCTCAATCCACCCCCATAATCGCGCGCTTCTCCTCCTCAACCGGCATCCCCGGTCTCCCAGACACAGACAGCAACGGTAACCCCCGCGGCCTCGCGATCCGCTTCCAGCTCCCATCTCTGCCTTCCATCCCAGACCGCCGTCAACACACAGACATCATCACCCACGCGGTAGACGGTTTCCCCGCCTCCACCCCCGAAGAAACCCTCGCCTTTTTCTCGTCTGTCCGCGCCGGAACCGTTGGCGAGTTCCTAGCCACCCACCCAAAAGCATTAACCTTCATCCAGACACCGAAACCGTTTCCCAAGTCGTTCGCCACCGAGAAGTTCTTTTCTGTATCCGCGTTCAAACTGGTCTCCTCCGAAGGCAAAGGGACGTTTGTGCGGTATAGGATCGTGCCTGCGACCGGAAATCCAAAGGGGGAGTATCTTACCGACGAAGAGGTAAAAGGGAAGGGGGATGAGTATCTGTTTGATGAGTTGAGGAGCATTGACAAGGAAACTGGGTCGATCGAGTATAAACTGCTTGCGCAGGTCGCGGATTTGGAGAAAGGGGATGTTACTGATGATAACACGGCCAAGTGGCCTGAGACACGGGAGATCGTTGAGTTAGGGACTATTAGTTTGACGGAAGCGTTGGGCAAGGAGGAGAGCGATGAGATGCAGAAGGGGTTCATCTTTGATCCGATTCCGCGAGTCGAAGGGGTTGAGGCGAGCGATGATCCGCTGCTGGAGCTGAGGGCGGGCATTTATTTGATCAGTGGACGGGAGAGGAGGGCTGCTTGATTTCCACTATCTTCTCTATGTGATGGTTATGTTATCTACCAAGTAGGTAGTTATGAACAGAAAGTGCACGCACGGTATGCAAACCCTGAAATGTTCAAAGCAGTTGAATGAAAATCCAGTAGTGTTGCCTTCCAGAGTACGTACGTATATACGACGTTGAGTATATTCAACAAAAGCCAAACATGCATACCAACCTTACATACCCAACTCCAGACGCCAGTCTGGCCGTTGTCAAGCCTTAAAACATCATCCATAACCTAGACAGACCCAGATCCCAATCACCCTGGTCTAATACTCCTCAACAGCACAGTTGGGATGCAACACATAGACAATCTTCTGAGCCGCCGCGCTGCTGCCGCCATCGGCACCCTCTTCTTCTTCCGCCTGCATACCCTGCCCTCTGATAGCCATAAGAATATTGTCCTGTTTTTCATCACGTTAGCCTCCATCTCAAAAATGGTGAAAGTAAGAGAGGAATATACCTTGACCATCTTCTTCAACACCTTCTTCGCCAATGCCAACTCGTTATTATGATCCTCCTCGCCCTGCAGCTCATCTTCCTTCTGCTCCAGATACCACTGCACTAGCGCCTCCCCTTCGACGCCCTCCCCGCTGCCCTGCGTCTCGTCCTCGGCAATATGCGTCACCATCATGTTCACAATACTAATATATTTCTCATACGAGATGGTCTGCTTCTCCCTCTGCGTCGGCACAGCCGACGCCTGCCGCTGCTGCTCGTCCTCATCATCCTCCGCCATAGGCGAATCACCGTCCCCATCAGCAGCAGCAGAAGCCGGAGCAGGCGTTCCCCTCGCAGCAGCAGAAGCAGCCCGCTGCAGCGTAGCCCCATCTTCCAGCGGCGCATCTTCCTCCTCCTCATCAACCTCCACATCGTCATGCTCGACGGAGATGATACTCTGCCTCAAGAGGTTGAACGCCTCGTTGACAAACTCCGGCGTGATTTCTTCCACGCAGTTCGCCTTCGCAATAGCTTCGGACAGACGAATCATACTCTCGAGCTGACGGACAGTGATACGGTAACTGTTCTTGCCGATGCCGCCTTGCGCATCGTCCGCCCGCAAGTCCTTGTATCGCTGGACCAGCACCTCTTTGGCCTCATCGGTAAACTCCGGCCGGAACGTGCGTGCGAAGCGAATGTACCGCTGCAGCTGCTCAGTCGAGAACTCGGGCACGATGGCCTCGTCACGCATCTGGTGGATGCCGACGATGTGCTCGGCGAGATGGCGGTCGACCTGTTCGTTACACTCGTCGAGAATGACAAAGAACAAATCGAAGCGCGACATGATGGGTGCGCTCATGTTGATGTTTGCGCGCAGGGTGGTCTTACGGTTGTAGCGGCCGCCGACGGGGTTGGCGGCGGCGAGGATGGATGTTCGCGCGTTCAACGTGGCTTGGATGCCCGCTTTGGCGATCGAGATGGTCTGCTGTTCCATAGCTTCGTGGATCGCGACCTGGTCGGCAATGTCCATCTTGTCAAACTCGTCGATGGCGCAGATGCCGTTGTCTGCCAGCATGAGCGCACCGGCCTCGATGGTAAACTCGCCGGTCTCTTCATCTTTCACCACAGCCGCCGTGAGACCGGCGGCGGAAGACGCTTTGCCCGAGGTATAGACCGCGCGAGGCGCAAAGCCGCACACGTACTTGAGGAACTGCGACTTCGAGGTGGACGGGTCGCCGACGATGCAGATGTTGATGTCACCACGGAGCTGCATGCCCTCGGGCGTGGTCTTGGCCACACCGGACATGAGCTGGAGTAGTAGCCCTTTCTTGACAATGTCGTGGCCGTACACTGTTGGCGCTAGGGAATTTACTAGTCGCGAGTAGATGTGATCACTGTGAACCATGGCACGAAGATCCTGGATCTCGGCTTGTGTATAGGAAGTCAGGACAGCATCCTGCGCCTCCTTGATGCTCTCAGCCGTCTCAACTGCAGCGCTTCCTGTGAGAGCGCCGACAATGTCGATCAAGTGCGCTTCACCGGAGGCGCCCAGAGAGGACACATCAGGCGTCACCATGCAGGCGAGGAAAGCCAGCCGGTAGGTAAGATCGCGTACACCTAGTGCTTTCAATCCACTAACACCACTGCCACCAGCATCGGCACTGCGGTCGTCACGTACAGAAACGTTGCGGATACCAGGCAGACCCAGCTGGCTGACATCAGGCACAACAATCAGAGCACCTGTGAAGATGCACTTCTCGCCGGCTTTGGCACGGTCCACAATCTCACCGCGCAGAATGACATCCATTGTCCGGGGCATGCTTCCGGTCGGGATCTCGCTGCTGTTCTCTTGCACGCGCACCTTTTGCCAGTCAACGAACGTGCTCTGGCGGATATCCAGCCGCCATGCGGTGCGATTCTGGCAGGTCGCGTTGGGACATTGTGTTGGCTCAGAGTAGCGGAAGGTCTGCTCGACGTTGGGCACGACGCTGCGGCATGCCTCGCAGATAAAGGTAGCCACGGCCAGCTCGGGCCGCACCTCAGACGTACGTGTCACAGTACCGCTGATGGAGAGCAGCTGGCCGATGTTCCTCGCGCGCATCGAACGCACGCGCGAAATCAGTGGCAGATGGTAGAAGGCGATGGCGAAGAGCTTGTCTGTCTGCTGGTTGGCCGTCTTGCTGCCGAGCTCCGACTGGCTTGCCGAACCTAGAGCGCTAGACCCGGAGGCGTTCTGGTTGCTGGAGGTCGTGGGTTGGCGATGCTCGCGGAAGTATTGCGGTTCGTACTTGGCAATCATATTGTGCAAAGCGGCGGTCAGGAATGGCAAGAAGCGGTAGTAAGAGTTCATGATGGCCTCCGCCAGGGCGCCATTGTTCCATCCTGCGACGTGCTTGTAATCGACGTAGAAGGTCGATAGCTGGTATATCCGCATTCCACGGATCTGGGCGATGTAGTACTTGTCTGTGGTGACAGCGCTCGACGTCGGCTGGCCCGATGACGTGGGAGCCTCTATGTATCTGCACCCGGTCAAGTCAGCGGGGTGGTGGTGTTGTCTGCGCTTGGTGGCAAGCACTTACCCCTCAATGAAGTTTTCAAAGTGCTCCTGAATCAGGAGGCCGATCTTGTCTTCGACACGGGGGATGTCGGCGATGTTCGTTGGGCGGGAGCGGACAGGCACCTGGTCGTCGGCGAACCCCTCACCCTCGTCATCGCTCGGCGCACCAAGACTCTCTGAAGGGGGGGCTCTCGGTCGACCGGTGGACGAGCTGTGCTGAAACTGGCGCTGGCGCGGAGTGGCTCCTCCTCGTCCAAGGCCGTCCGACATCATATAGCCAGGGTCGCTGGAGGCGGCCATTGCTGTTGCCATTCTGAAATATTATTCCTCGTGCAGTCAGGTCTGCAGTATGGAGTATGGTGGGTATGGGGTGGTGAGGTTGGAGGTGGGATCGAGGTTGTCGCAAACTAAATGGCCCTGGGCGGGCCTAGTCAATAAAACGCGAGAAAACGCGGGACCCAAGGTGGGACGCGCCAACGTGAAAAGGAGACGCGAACAAGTGGGTCATTTAATTACCCCTATAGATACATAAATTGCATAAACGCATAAGTCAGTACATTGCATATGCTAAATATCTCGCCTTACCTCTGGCAACTTTTCCTTTTATTTTTACTTTGTCTTGATATTTAAAGACGAACTAGACCGGAGTCGAACCGGCATCTATCCCCGTGACAAGGGGATCCTTTGCCAATTAAGTTACTAATTCTTAAAATATATATTATTTATATGATCTTAATTATAATATGTTCTAGTATTTTGGATAGTTATATATATATATATATATATATATAAAGTATATATATTTAATAACTATTTTTATATTTATTATTGGTTATCAAGGCTGCATTTGTGAAAAAAGTAAAGACATCCTGCCCCCCTGCCACTCACTGCCTTTCGGTCCGTCCTTGGTGTTGAACCTGGGCTACTAAACCGACAGAAGCAAGTCATCTCACTCCCCGTGTCCTCCAGGGGCGAGCCGGTCTTCCGTCTCCTCGCACCACCATCGGTCAAGCCACTAACCCGACGGCGGGGTGAGCGTTGCCACAGGCGTCGTCAATGGGTCGACCATGTCCGCGTCGCCGTCGCCCCGAATGCCGCTGCCACCAGAGGCAACGGTGGGGACCGGCTCGTCTCCCTGACTAAGGTATCAACGTGATCATTGACGACCAACCCTGTGGTTTCGGCGTAGTTTGCAAACAAATCCACAATTCTTCCATTCGAGGTAATAGCTATCACGTGAGCCTCACCAGAAGGATCAGGTTGGCCCAGATAGGCCAGAGCCTCGTTCCGCCCGTGGACCAAGATAGCGCCGTCATATGCGGACTGCAACCGTATTTCGCCTATGTCTCCCTCAGATCTCATCATCCCCACTGCCAGATGTGGCAGAGCCAGGTCATCCGGCGATGATCCGAGGCAGGCGGCGGGAACGTGGTTGATGATCGGAAACGAGTCGATGATTTTTCGCTCAACGTCTCCGACCACGGCAGGCACCGGAGCAGAAAAGCACTTGTTGGTCCGATTGTCATACGGCGTGAACCGAATATCCTGCGGCAGAACCATAGCCTTCTTGATGCTTTGAGAGTATCCTTCCGTCCTGTGGCTATCCTTTAGGGCATATCGTACTAATTCGAATGCCACGCCCATTTTGTTGAGATCGGACCGTTCCATAGCTTTCCTGAACTGCTCGTACTTTTCTATTGACGGCGGAGGAGAAGTACGTGGCCTGGTCATCCTGTCTTCGAGATCCGCCAAGTTGGTCGGTGGTCTGGAGTAGTACGGATAACCACCCATCAGAATGCCATTCATCACCGTCTGGGCTGCTGGTGACTCCATAAGAGCTTGCCGCCCCAGCCATCTTGTTCCGGCAGGCCAGGTTCAGTCGGGTCAGAGGTGTTGGTGCTGGCGACTCTTCCCCGGTTTCGCTGTCCTCGTGCTCGTCGACGAAATTTAGGGATACTGAGCTCTCCGAACGTCGGAGGTAGCAAGACCAGTTAACGCTGGGGTGCGATGAACTTGCTCATGAATTTGCCCAGTCGATAGACGCCGGGGCTTCTGTTGCGGCAGCAACGGGGAGATGTCCCTGCGGGCAATCCGATGGGTTATGAGCAGTCATCGGGGCTTCTGTTGCGGCACCATCTGGGCGATGTGCCTGTAAGGAATCCGATTGGTTATGACGCGCAAGGTCAGTCCTTGCGCTTGGTCGCTTGTCATGATAAAATCTCGAACTGGCGCGGATACAAGACACTTTTGTAAGCCGAGGCCTCAAGTTGGCCGACAGAACGGCTGGTGAGGCTGTGTGTATGCGTTGTTCTCCCTTCGCGAATGCTGTCCGGTTGGCAGGAGACTGTGTAATGGTTTGGGCAGACCTGGTCGAGAAGTGCCGTGCAAGCGTGAAGACTTGCAATTCGAGCACAGGCTCAGCTTTCAGGGTGCTGATATAACCAACGCGGCCGTCCGGTTACCCCACGAGCGTGAGCGGGTGCTTGAATGACCGGGTTTGGTTGGCATAGGTTGTTGATCAGGGAAATGGATTCTCACGGCGGGATGCGTCAGACAGCTTGAGACCTTTTGAGGTTGATAATGCTCCACAGTGATCCCAAGTTCAGTTCAGATGGGACTGGGGTTGTGAGGACGTTGTCCTATTAGTGCCAGCAAATAACCATCGCAAGTTGGATGTACATGACGCTTTACAAGAGCAACGGGAGTCTTCTATGGTGCAAAACCTGGGTCGCTCGGAGCCATGACTGTTGATTCAAGAGCAATATATCATCAGCTTGAGAAAACACTGCTTGGTATACGTGGGTAGGTACCAGCAATGAACACTCATAACAAAATCTCAAATTTACCGCAGCTACCTCGCTCAACCCAGCACGAAGTCCTTGTAAGTCCACTTCTCCGTGACCTTAGTCTTGGCCTGTTTCCTGAACGGAATCTTCCTCCGGCTCTCCATCTTGCCACGCACCAGCATGTTGCGGAAGCGGTCCCGCAACAGATTCCCCTCGGGCTTTAGCCGCCGCAGCGACTCCTCCAGCTCGTCCGGAAGGACCAGTTCGAGGTCCTTCTCCGGTAACTTGAACTTGCCCAGCTGCCGCCGGCGCAGCTCCTCATCGTTGCCCTCATCGTCACTATCATCACTCATCTCGATTTTTTGGACCTGCAGCGCGTTCTCCTTCTCGTAAACCTCCTCGGCGAGCTGGTCGATGCGCTCGACCTGGCCATACTTCTTTTTCAGGGCTGCCTCGTGCTTCGCCTTGCGCTCAGCCTCCTTGCGGCGCTTGATCTTGTTGCGCTGCGCTTGCGTCTTGCGCTCCGGCCGCTTCTTCTTGCCGCTGAGCTCCTCACCTCCGCTTTCGATACCCTCCCATGCCGAATCCTCCTCCCATTCTGAAAGATCTGCGCGCGCCTCGGCGGCTTCAGCTTCGGCTCTGGACCGCGCAGCAGCTTCGGCCTTGATGTGGTCAGCCTCAAGCTCCTCGAGCCGTTTGCGCTCCGCGTCGACGACGTGCTTGGACGCTTCTATTAACCTGTCCTGGTAGTCGGCGAACTCTGGGTTGTAGCTGTAGCCGCCCGTGGGTTTGATGACGGCGGGGACGGACTTGCCGTTCGCGGCGAGGGAGATGGGTTGTTGGCGGAGCGTCTTGGGCGGTTTGAGCTTGTCCTTCTTGGGCAAAAACGGCAACTTCTCCTGGATCTCCTTCTCCTGGTCCGGGGCATCCCAGATGTCGTGGTCAGCGTCGACGACTGTTACTATGGACTCGTGCTCGCCGTCGGCGACCTTCTTTAACCTCCTGAGCTCCTTCTGAGTGACATATTCTGTTCTCTGGCGCTTGACGGGGAGAACACCGTCGGTCGTCTTGTCGCCTGGCCGCTTGCGGAGAGAAACCGCCGGGATAGCTGACCGCTGTGCAATAATCTCATCCGCCTTGAGACCCTTCTTGATGTGCTTGGGCAGCCGTTTCTGAAGGGCTGCGTCGCCAACAACGTCGAGTGTGAACAGATCCGAGGATTTCTTCTCGGCGATAACTCCACTGGATAATTTTTAGCTGATGTCTTCAATTCCATTGTCGCTAACTGAGCAATTCCGTACCCCTTGATGATCTGGTCGTTCAATTCCTCGAGACCCTTCTCGACGTCGGTCACATCGACATTCTTGCGCCACGCCTTCTTGCCCTTTCTTGAGGGCTGCTTATACTGCGAGGGACCTTCCGGGTTGCCCGAAAGGGGTTTTATTACAGGCATGTTAGGCTTGTTTTGGGATGTCGATGTGCGGTGTTATTGCTGTTGCTACCAAGTACTTGTCTCGTAGATGCTGTTTCTGGGCACTCCTGTCTCCCATAAACTTTCGGTGGGGTTTGACAAAATTTCGGCGGAGGAGGCGATAAGATAAGACGATCTACGGGTTAGGTAGCTCCAGTGAATTCAATGGCGGCACGTGGCGCAGCACCGGCCGTGCGCTCCACTATTCAGTCCAGGCCGTTCCTCGGGCCACCGATCCAAAGGTAGCGCCAGTGGGCTGGTCAATCTGGTCTCAGTGGGAAAGTGGGCGCTGACAACCAGATGTTGCCCCCCCTATTTGGTGGCCTGCGGTTCGTCATGACGGCCGCCAAGAGTCTGGACTTACCTGCACAACGGCTCTCCCTTTGTGACGGGTAATCTTTTGAATTTGGGGGCGACCAGAAGCGGGCTGAACGCTATTTGCAAAGAAAGGTTTTGCTGATCAGCTATTTTTTTATTGCCTTTGGTACCGTTTCCGTCCTTCGTCTAATATCAGGCACCGACCCAACGAACCGCACCTGACCAAACACCAAGGACAGCGACGACGACGAGAAACCACATACCGAGTCCTTCACAAGACAACGGAAATACCGGAGCCCAACATGGCGCAATCACCAACAGGCGGGTCGTACAGCAACCCATTGAAAAAGTTCAAGTAGGACCACCGTGACCGATTTGCGTCGACGCGACACTTATGCTGACCTCGATATGCAGGCTGGTCTTCCTGGGCGAGCAGAGTGGTATGCGAAGATCCACAGTTATTGCGAACGACGAATAAACATGCTGACTGGATGGGATTACAGTGGGAAAGACATCACTCATCACGCGCTTTATGTACGACTCGTTCGATAACATGTACCAGGCGACGATCGGCATTGACTTCCTCTCAAAGGTTGGCTCTCTTCCCTATGCGCGCCATCCAATTCGACGGCAGTAACTAACTCAAAACAGACCATGTACCTCGAAGACCGAACAGTGCGGTTACAGCTCTGGGACACAGCCGGGCAGGAACGATTCAGGAGTCTGATTCCCTCATACATCCGAGACTCGAGTGTCGCGGTGGTGGTTTACGACATATCAAGTAAGAGCAACCCTCAATCCGGCCCGGAAATCTGATGAGGTTGAAATGACTGACAAAGAAACTACAGACGCAAAGAGCTTCCAAAATACCAAGAAGTGGATCGACGACGTGCGGGCCGAGCGAGGGAACGACGTGATCATCGTGCTGGTGGGCAACAAGACGGATCTGAACGACAAGCGCGAGGTGACGACGCAGCAGGGCGAGGAGGAGGCCAAGAAGAACAATCTCATGTTCGTCGAGACCAGCGCCAAGGTCGGCCACAACGTCAAGACGCTGTTCAAGAGGATAGCGCAGGCCCTACCCGGTATGGAAGGGACCGATGCTGCGCAGGGGCCGACCACCAAGATCAA